CAAGATTTTCTAAGAGCCTTAGGGGCTAAGACTGACGGTGCAAAACACAAAGGGCGGCTTTTGAAACGTAGCTCGTCATAGCGATTGCAGTTGAATGGCCTGACAATTCATACGTAGCGGGAAAATGTAGGCAGATGCCAGATATCACACGGTGCAAAAAATGTGGCCATTACAGAAGACAAGTTTGCCGGATACCTATTCGTAAAAAAAAACAAAGGGTGGGTGGCACAAATACCCCCCCCCCTTGCCACGGCGCGGGTAGCCCTCTCCGAGCATTCTTACCTGAAAAGTGCAGCGCACTCAAAAAGGTGCCTTGTTGGGCATTATCGACAACCGGACTGCGGCAGCCACCAGAGAACAAGTGGCACTTGCCGCTTTCTGACTCATAGCTGAAGCCCGTACAGTCGTTTGTGGCCCTTGTCTCACATTTGATCCCACAGGTGATCTTTGACGGTGCGGTGGTGGCCTGCACGTGCGCTCCGGAGAGGGTCACTGCCTGCTGCCAGCCGTAGAGAGCCGCGGCTGCTGACGTCAGCAGCGTCATCGTGGTCATCAGCGTCATCAGCGGCGTCATCAGCGACGTCATCAGCGGGATGGCGTTCGTTCGAGCCATGGCTGAGAGTGAGGTGGTCAGGTGTGCCACACACAGCTTTATTGGGGCCGCTCCAGTTGCTGTCCCGTCCCGGGGGACGAACTGGTTCCCGCTTCCCACAGCCACGGCACTGTACTGGAGGGCAATCGCGCTCTAATGACGGTGCGGTCAGAGGCAAACAGGCTGTGGGCTCCGCAATTGAGGTGTCACGGTAGGAAAAATGTTTGGAGGATTATCAGCCGGTGGAAGCCGCTTGTTAGGTGCTTGTTGGTATGTTTGGTACCCAGCGAGGCAATTTGCGGGCCTGAAAAACAGCGCTTAGCCAACGGAAGCTGATGATGCTGTATTCGTTCATAATATTATTGGTTTATCCTTCAAAACGTTTAGGACTTAAGAAGAACCTAATAAAAATGCAATTTTGCCCGTCCGACGGGCAAACCGTGTTTTCGATTATGGAAAGTCTGTAGTGCTAAATCTGCGTGGAATCAGAGTGATGGTAACAAGGACCGCGTGCAAGAAACAAGCAAACCCATCAGCCAGATTCCCTTTCATACTTGGGATTACGTGACAAAAGATCGTAAGACAAAAGATCGTATGGAAAAAGATCGTACGAAAATGATCGTAAGATAAAGATCGTATGTTGTAAAAGATCGTACGGTAAAAAGATCGTAAGCAAAAGATCGTAAAGCAATTGATCGTACGCAAAAGATCGTACGAAAATGATCGTAAGATAAATATCGTATGTTGTAAAAGATCGTACGACAAAAAGATCGTAAGCAAAAGATCGTAAAGCAGTTGATCGTATGAAAAAGATCGTAGGAAAATGATCGTAAGATAAATATCGTATGTCGCAAAAGATCGTACGACCAAGGATCGTAAGCAAAAAATCGTAAAGCAATGGATCGTACAAAAAAGATCGTAGGAAAATGATCGTAAGATAAAGATCATATGTTGTAAAAGATCGCTCGACAAAAGATCGTAACGTTACGTTCGTAAAGTAAATAATCGTATAGAATAGTGTTGTTACGAGCGAGCGAGCGCAGCGAACGAAGCGAAGTCTTTTCAATATAACGGCTGGAAGTATGAGCAGAGAACTAGAAGCTACCAGAGCGAACAGAGTGGCATGATATGGTCTGCGGGCCGCGGGCATTGAGCTTTCGTTAGGAGTCTTTTTAGAAGTCTTTTCAATATAACGGCTGGAAGTATGAGCAGAGAACTAGAAGCTGCCAGAGTGAACAGAGTGGCATGATATGGTCTGCGGGCCGCGGGCATTGAGCTTTCGTTAGGATGCAGGCAGGCTATCGGGGAAACTGGCCGGGTGTTTGTCGTTTGAACGGCTTGTATTTTGCATTTTGTCAAAAGAAATGATCGCATACAAGTTGTTTGTGGTTATTACCAATAATGGACAATTGACATCTTTAACTGGCCTTCGATCAATGACTCCTATAACTAGGATTGGATTGAAACTAGGATCCTATAACTAGGAGGATTGCGACTTCGATAGTGATAACGCGATAAACATCTGTTGATGACTCGTAAAGCGATGACGATTCTCCGTGAAAATGTAACAGTGCGAAGGAAAAAGTATTTTTAACGCCGTTTACTTCAGCCGCTTAAGCAACATTTTAACCTTCCAGGCGGTAGGGGGGGGGGGGAGGAACATATATACTAGTTTCTCGCGTTTATCGTAACACAAGATGAACAAATTTCAATTTATCGCAACATGTTTATCGCAACATTTTTGCCTCGATTTATTGCATCATCTAGGATGTTGCAATAAACTTGTGCATCTTTTAATGAAAGGTTTTGCCTATCTAGGAAGAAAAAATTCGGATATGTTCCTTCATGGATTGAATCGCTGCGTCGCTCGCCGGTGAGGCACGGAGGTTGAGATGCTGGAGGGACGGACATGCAATAATTCTTGAGGTGTACCTATCAGGTGCACGATGGACAGATTCGGTGCTTATCTTACGTTTATTCGCATATTGTGGCATATGTTCCCATCAATTAATAGTCGAAGTCGAGCACTCGCCGGCCAAGGGGGGGGGGGGGGCGGGTGCCGCCCCCATACTTTTTTTTTGGCAATAGCTCGGAACACGCCCGCGATGGAGAGCTGAAACTTGGCATACCTGACCTTTGACTCAAGCCGGATCTTGTGAGATCAGCCGTATTTTCAGCTCAGGTCAGGTCAGTGACGTGACCTATAACATAAGTGAACCTATGCACGGTCCTCAGATGTCGCAACTTCGCAACGCCCTCAGTGCTAGAGGAACTTTCACAGGGAGATGAAACTTACGAAGATGTAAGTTTTATCTGTGAGACCTTCAGAGGTCTCACAACTTGTATATATCTCTGATCTTTTCCTAAAGGTCACACGTGGTTAGGTCGGTTACGTGACCTCACCATTATTAAGTCAATGGGTAAATATGAAAACTGCTATTTTGGCGCCGGGAATGATCTAAAACTATCCCAAGCACATGGAATCAGGCGCATACCTAGAATTTTGCCAAGGGATGGGGGCGGAGGAATCCCGGGTGGGCTCCTTTCTACAGAGGGTCTCCTCTCTAAAGGGGCCTCCTCTCTACAGGGGGCCTCCTTTCTACAGAGGGTCTCCTCTTTACAGAGGGCCTCCTACCTTCAGAGGCCTCCTCTCTACTGAGGAGTCAGAGGGGCCCTAGCGGTCAGACACAGACACTAACGGTTATTCACAGGAGGCCCCAGGAAGTAAGAAGGACCCTAGCTGTCACTTGTCAGGCTGGTCAGAGGGCCCTGATTGTCCTGACGTGTTTTTTTTGGGGGGGGGGATTCCCGTGAATTTCGTTCGCCTCCGACGTGATTTTAACCAACGTGGACCTTCGGCCCACGGGGCCCTGATTCCATCTGGGGCCTCCTAAAAAACCCAAGGGGGGGGGGCGGACGCCCCCCGTTGGGTACGTCCCTGCATGGAATCGTGATTTCATGCACTCCTTGCAAGGTCCGATGCTTCACTATTGCATTGTTGACCTTGCGTGACGTCATTTACGACGTCACTAGGGTCATAAGAGTTTTTCGTCAATAACTCCCGATCAAATTTAAGTAGAGAGTCGGGAAAGACACCATTGGACTCGGGAAGACCTGCAGAATCGAATGCTATGCAATATGATATCCTTTGATCAACTTCGTGACTTGAGGCCTGAGGGGCTCCATGACCTGACCTTGACTCGAGGTCTACACCTTAACCCGGCCGGGCCCGGGGGGTAATCCCAACCACCGCAGCCCGGGGGGCGTTTTTCGCCCCCCCCTGTCTAACTCCGTAAATAAGGGAGCTACGGTAACAGAAGCGATACCAAACGAAAGGTCCTTACGAGACGATTCTAAAGCACCTAAAATTTTGACCTCAGGTCAATTTTCAAGGTCAGAGGTCAAGGTCAAAGGCAAAAACCGGCACATGTGTAGTGATCTCAAAGTAAGCCTTCTAGAGGACGGCAGGCCGCAGGCAGCATCAAACCGGAAAAATTGGGTGTCAAACGAAAGAAGAGAACCTGAGGATTTCGAAAATGTGCTCAAAATCAAAGGTCAAGGTCAATGTCACGCTGAAAAAAAACGACGCGAGCCCATGTGTAACGAGAGAGGCGATACGCCATTCGAAGTGGAGTAAAGCGTGCTTCAATCCAAGATAAATAAAATCAATCAAATCACATAAATTCAATCCAAGCACATACAAATAAAATGTTTGTAAGGTGCCGAAGTTCAATGGACCATTTCTGCGGTCAATAATGAAGGCAATATGACGATAAAGTCCAACTGAGATAATCGTTGGCACGGATGTGGCCAAAATCGGGCACGAGCAGGACCAGAATTTGGCGCAACTGTATATCACGAACGGGATCCAATGCTGGAACGAACGGCATCAGCGTCAGGCTCAGCACCATAAGCTGGTACAAATGGTGAGGCAATTCAGGCTCGAACTACAGAACAGTCAAGCATAACTAGTAACTACCGTAATCTAACACGAACAGTTATGAGACCCGGCACCAGAACCTGGTACAAACGGCACCATTTTGGACTGGAGAGCGTACCGTCACCAGGCACGAACGGTTCCAGAATATGGCGCGATGGTATGTACATCAGGAAAGAACGTTACCATAACCTGGCACGAACGACATAGGATCAACCATGGAGACCAGAATCAGACACGAACGGTAAAACATAATGGACAATAACGGGTATGCAACGGCGCAGAGCAGTTGAGAGGCCACCAGCGGCGTCCGGCAGGAGCCGAGCCGGTCGGCCAGCGCGCCGTCGAGCCGCGGGCTGGCGCCGCCCGTCAGCGCCAGCCCCGCCTGCAGCTCGCCCACCGACGGGCTCCGTGTGGACATGTGCAGCGTCACGCCAACGGCAGCATGCCGCTACGGTGCAAAAAGGTTCATTTTCTGACGACTGACAGTGTATTTCAATAAGGACACAAAAATGCAGCTGCCGGACTGGCCACCCTTTGCCGACCACACATGGACCGACGGCATCGGGCGCTGCCACTGGACCCTAGCACAGACTCGATCGGATCAACACAATCTTACACCAGGCACACAACACACAACGGATCATGGTACTCAAGTCCGTGCCATCGGTGTCACTCAACAAAAACGGTGCTTCTGTCTCAATGTAAAACTCAATGTATGTACTTACTGACGCCGCGGGCGGCTCCGGGCCGCGAGTCCCATCCGGACCCAACCCAGCACAGCCCAGCCCCCGGCCCGATTCAGCCCTATCACCGGGCACCGCTGCCAGTGCCGAACAGGGAAGGACGGACACCAGAGAACAACTGATGACAACGGACTTACGAGAACTTACAGCATCGAAACCATTATGAGGAAACACGTTATCGAGATACACAACAACCCATACACACTTCACACGCCATCTTGACGCTCACGACTCCGACGTACGCTAGGCCGCTGGCCACCCTTTGCCGACCACACATGGACCGACGGCATCGGGCGCTGCCACTGGACCCTAGCACAGACTCGATCGGATCAACACAATCACTAGACTTACACCAGGCACACGAGACACAACCGAACATGGTACATGCGTCCGTGCCATCGGTATCACGCAGCAAAAACGGTGCCTCTGACTTCTGAGCTTGATAACCAAACTCAACAAAAACGGTGCTTCAGAGCTTGACAACCAAACACCGGACACGGCCAGCAGGACCTACTGCAGCGCCTCGAGCGATCCTGACATAGGCCATGTGGCGGCTGTTCACTGGCTGCCACAGAGAGCACTGCTGACGTCGCGGGCGGCATCGGGGCGCGGGCAGGCACATGTATTGTCGCCGCGGGCGGCATCGGGGCGCGGGCAGACACATGTATTGTCGCCGCGGGCGGCATTGGGGCGCGGGCAGACACATGTATTTGACGCCGCGGGCGGCGCCGGTCCCCAAGTCCCGTCCGGACCCAACCCAGAACAGCCCGGCCCGGCCGCTCCAGCAGCTCACTCCTGAGGGCAGGGACCACCGAACTGATGTTAGTTACGCCGTGAAATCGGACGGAGTCATGGAGCTATGTGAAGGAAATACAATATTGAGCCTATTACGGTTTTCAAAAGCGTTTTTTCAGCGACGCGCTAGCTCCACCAGGGGCGAAACGGCGAGGGGGTCGTAGTACCCCCCTCGGCCGGCGCGTATGTAGAAAACCAATAGGTCCGGCGAGGGTTAATACCGCTGGAATTTGGCTTATTGAAGTAAAAAAATGCGGTTGGAGCTCTGCTGGCTCCAGTTCTATGAACTCAAAAATAGGTCACCTTATCCACACTTACATAGTTATGACAATGAACATTGAAGAACTAACTGACGATTGACTCAGTTAGTATCAAGGAGGAATCATCCCTTGCACGCCTAAAATAAGCAACCGAATATAGCGCATCGCAACAAACATACGCGCCAAGTACAAAGAAGTGCATCAATACATTGTCAATACTTACTGCCTTCTGTTTAAGTTTGTACATCTTGCATCTTATGTCATTCAGATTATGGCCGTTGAACGGCTCCCTCTTGTACAGGTCTCTGAGGTCATCCATACTGGGTACCCGCCCACCGCGGGCTTTCAGTATCGCCCGCAGTCTCTGCACTTCGGGCACAGACCACTTTACATATCGCTCTGAAAAAATAAAGAAATGTTAACCCTGTTATACGCCTTGACTAGCCTGAGGCAAGTTTTTTACCAGCGCCGTGACGCTCTTCCAATCACAATACATCGATGGAAGGACAAGGGTGCATTCACAACCTTTCTAGTCAGGTAATGGGCCGCCCTACAGTTATACACGTTGTCAAAGGTGAAAATTATTCTATTGTGACACCGTTGACGAACTTCCTGATAGACAAAAAGGTAAAACACAACCAATTACTGGTTGCTTTAAATGATTTTCTCACAGCACAAAATATTTAACCTCAGGCCATCACCTTTGTTTCAAAGAGTTAACTTTCTAATTACATACTTATTCGGAAACACTGACGCCCGGTGTGATACCGACTTTACATCTGTTATACCCGCATGATATACTTTCGTCTGCTCCGGGTGATTTAGTGATAAATAGCAGACATGGTTGTTTAGTTCAGCACTGCTTAGCGGGCATCAACCGGGTAAACGGGCCTACCTAGAGCGTCCAAACAGTGTTGCGGTAGAGCATCTCATCTTCCGTCGGAGAGGCCAACAGCCTGGTGAGACTACTACAGAATATGTGTCCGCTTTGCGAGCACTAGCCAATATATGTTACTTCAGGACGATAAATTAGACATCGGCAGCCACATCAGCCGCACAGCACCAGCCGACGTCCGGCGCTCGGAAACGGAGGAACATCTGGCCACCCTTCCAGACGACGCCGTGTAGGTATGGAGCGACGGCTCGGCGGAGGGAGGTGTCTCAGCCAGAGGGAGTGAAGCGTTGATAATCCTCCCCTCGGGCGAGGAACACGAGCTCCGAGCCCCCGCAGTCAAGATATGCAGCAGTACCCGCGCTAAGCTGGTGACGATCCGCGGGGCTCTGGAGATGCTGCTACAGCTGGAAGGCGGCCCGGCGGAGAGCCCAGTCATCGTCTGCTCAGACTCGCAGGCGGCGCTCGCCACGCTGGCGAGTGGTGCTGGGAGTCAGACGACCGACGGCACTCGGTGCCGCCGTATGGCGACTGCTCCTGACTCCGAGTCCTCATACAGTGGATCCCGGCACACTGCGGAATACCCGGCAACGAAAGGGTGGACGTGCTGGCTAAAGTGGCCTCCAGCATGTCGCAAGCCGCCGTCCCGATGGACGTCCGCTGCTTCGTAAAGGCTGATTGTTTGAATTGGACAATTGAATTGGACAATCATATACGAATTAATTTCGTGAAGGCTGTCAGCCTTGGCCGCTCCGCCACCAAGGCATGGCATCGCAGCTGGACAGACAGCATCTTCAAAAAACATTATGGGAGACCGGATGCCGATGCCGGTGCTTCTGGTGTCTCGGGACGAGGCGGTTAACGTCCACCAGCTGCGGGCGGGACACTGGAGCCACTCGTAGAGTTATCTGCGCAGGATCGGACGCCACCCCGAGCGCGAGTGTCCACAGTGCAGCGACCTGGCCTGCCCAGTGCAGTGGCGCGCTGCCTGGTGTGCCGCGAGGGTCCGGACACACCGGAGCGCGTGTTGCTCGGGTGCCCATGCTTGGCCGGAGCGAGGCTCCAACTACTCGGAAACATATGATCGGACCCTACGCAGCTTTGGGACGGCGGTGTCGTGGCGGCCTTCAGCCGCGGCTACCTCAGTCACCGAGAGCCGTTGGGCTACGGCCGGCCATGAGCCGACCCGCGGAGAACAAGAGCAACAACTTCAGGACGATTGAAGATAAGACGATCAGATACCTCGTGGTGGAACAGATCCTGCATCATCATCTAGCGAAGTTCCTGCAAGACGGTGCCCTCACCCTGGAGAAGGTGCTCGATTTGTGTGAAGCCTACGAGCGTTCAATCCTCCAGTCGTCTGATGGCTCGTCATGAACACAACGCAGTGGCTAATATCAGCCGACAGCCGCGGTTGACAGAACACCCAGCATCTGTAGAAGGCCATGCGGGAGCTAGGGGCTCGCTGACCATGCCAACAGCCAGGGCCCCTCAGTGTCCTGCCAGACGAGTGACCTGACGCGTCTGTGGAAGGAAGTCACTATGCTGCAGTCGGAAAGAGGAAGTTAACACGAGTGAAGAAGGCCACCATGGCGTTTCATGTGTTGCAGTGCAAGGTAAACACCTGCAGTAAGTAAGGTGACCGGCCCTGTCATCCTGGAGGCAGAGAGGCGTAGGCAAGCGATGACACTTACGGTGGATGCTGGTGAAACCTGCTCGACCTTGAGACTTTAGTGCAGAGTACGTCTGCCGTCTCTAGGGATGCACTTACGAGCCATCCACATCCAACCTCCTCAGGTTCGGGAGAATGCATTTCAGCGTGACAGGTAAATACTCTGCGACGTCTGCGTGCCACAGCCCGGTACCAGTCGGTGGATGCCAGCCTCTTCCTGGTGGATACATGGCCGCTGCGGAAGCCATCACAGGCCTGGGTCTGATGCAAAGCTGGGTGTCACCATTTCCCAACATCAGGTGAGGTCTTCACCATACAAGAGGAGGGGGATGCGATTCTCCCGACCATCAATGGCTACCAGCATTACAGCATCCTCGTCCCAAATGTCCCATCCTCGTCCCTAAGCCCACGGACTACAAGCTGCGCCGTCTTTTGCTCTCTGTTCGAGATGAGGTGCAGGAGGAGCGGAAGACATCGTGGAGAAGATTGAAGCGTCCTCATGGGTGAACCCGCAGGTCTTCTCTCGCAAATTCAACGGGCAGCGTTGACATCAGGTGGCCCAACTCACATATTGTGGCTGAGATATATCCTCTTTCGACAATCGAAGAGTACCAGGCTCGACTTCATGGCAGAGTCTACAGCAACATCGATCTCCGGTCGGCATGTGAGCAACTGGAACCCCATCCGGAGAGCAGGAACATCAGCGTTCATCTCGCACGGTGAGTTGATACGATTTCTGCAAATCACCTCCGGCCTGGTCTCGACAGACTCTGCTTGCCAGAATCTCCTTCACAACTTGTTAGGGAGCTCAGAAGTTTCCTCTCGCTGACTTGCTGGTCGAATCGCTCCATCCCAGTCTGCGCTTACATCCGACAACTTGCTGTGATTCTACGGAAGGAGTGCTGTTCGAGTGGATGGGGGAAGAGTCAAGGTTCCAGACCATCAAAAATGGTACCGAGCAGCCCGGTTCTGACGCCCTTAAACCGAGACCTACCGACAGTGGTGACGTCACGGCCACGCGCATCCGAATCATTCATTTGATAGCACTGCTGGGTGCTGGTGCCATCATGTCACAGCTGTCCTGACGGCTCAGTGCTTTGTCCTGACGAGCGGTGCTCTTTGTCCGACCGTGAGGCCCTCAGTGCCGTGCAAGCAATGGAGCGGTGGAACGTCTACCTCTGAGGGCGACGTTTAACACTCCGGACTGGCCAGTCCGTGATGAACACGCTCCTCGCCTAAGTTCTCAGACTGGGCGGGAGCACCTGTTGCTAGGTGGTAGGCTCGAATGCTACCGTACGTCTACGAAGTGACGAGCGCCCCTGCCAGCAGGATCACTGTCGCTGACGCACTGTCACGCCAGCGGCTGTCCACTACAGGGCCCGTAGAAGAAGCCGATGAGGAAAAGGTCGTCATCTGCGTCAGGGGCGAACACCTATCACCGCTAACGGAGAAGAAGGTTCGAGAGGCAGCTGTAAAGGACCCTGAGGGGTGTTCACGGGCACCGCACACTGCTGCGTGCGGTGTGTGCGGTGCGTCCAGCAGGGTGGGGGTAGGGGATGGGTAGGCGGCTCTGACGTCACGGCTGCGTGCGGTGAACGATCCGCTGTGGCCAGTCCCGACCGGCCACAGCGGTCGCTGTGTGCGGTGACGGAAGGCTGACGTAGGGACGCAGTGGGCGGAGCTTGAGCTGTGTGCGGTCCGACCGCACACGGGCCCGTGAACAGCCCTCAGCTCTCCAGCAACTGAGTGACGTCATCCTTTCCACTTCAGCAAAACTCGTCCCCTGCTGTCATTTCGGAATTCGGCAACACCGTGAGACTTGCTATGGCATGTCGTGCCACTCCGTATCTCAAATCGTCCATTTGATACTGAGTCCATTGATACGGCTTTAAAGATGCTTCAAAGACGGCAAAAACCCATACGTCCTCGCGACCGAACAGGATAAACTCAATGCAGACAGCATATAACCAATGTCAAAAGCCCTCACGTCGTCCTTGTGTAGTGTAGCGACGTATTGGGTTTTGACGTTGCAAGCATTTCTAATCTGCAAGAACGTCTATGGGTTTACCGACGTGGATTTTGTCACTGGCACATAGGTTAGCCATGACGTGTGGGTTTTCGCCGACGGGGTTTTGACTGTGTCACTTCCGTGCTTTTCAAAGACGTGTGAATTCCAAAATTTGTTTTTCCTCTCCCAAAAAGCTTTTTTTGGTTTTGAAAAAATCCTCATGGCATGAAATAGAGCTTTGCAAGCTGGTCACAATGGTGTAAAAAACGAAAAATGACCCAAATTGACATGTGGGGTTTTGACTTTGGACGGCAGAATGTGTTGGACTTGGTGCTTCATGTCCTTGTCTGCCGTTTTCTTTGTTTGTTAGCCATTGCCGCAAGATACATAGGGCCTCTACTAGCGAGTCTAAAAATCGGGGGGGCAAACCATCAACATTTAATGTTTCTTTGCATATAAAAAGTATACAAATTTACAAAGAGGGTATTAATGCAGGAAATTTCAATACGTTTATGAAATAATGCAACACGTAAAGCTGATGCAGGCGATGTAAGGCCGCCAAACCTTTCACTTACTTTTTTTGCGGTCCTTCTTCCGCTGTTAGGCCTGTGGACATTAAAAAATATAGTTAACATTAGGAATAGAACCTTAACCATGTAATTCTGTTAACATTACATGGTTTGCATGAGAACCAAATTTGGCCGGGCGTCGCAAGTCCATCTACGACACGTCGCAAGTTACGACACATGTCCCGTCGCAAGTTGTGTCGTAGCGAAAAAGGAGGGATGATGTGAGGAAAGAGGGTTTGTCGGAGGATACGACGAACGTAGCTACGACGAGGCTTAAATACCCGCTTTACTCGAGAATTTAAAGGCTACACGTATGCTGATCCCGTAGTAAACGTCAGTAAGGTCGAAAACTCTATCACGCAAACGGAACATTCGCCTTTCTGGTTTGAGAGCTTATGAGACAGCCAGGTCAAGCATGTTCTCTGATTCTGAAGCTTTGTCTCACTGGGTGACTTGTGATCGCTAACGCTCACATATTTGCCATAAAATTTGGGGTCGATCACAGGATTCGTGGCTAAAGAGCATCCTAGCTATGCTTAGAAGAATGAGTTTCAGAGAGTTTTGAAGTCACAGAGAGTAAGAGTGTGAAGTTGGAGTCACAATTGGAGGTTACAGAGTCATCTGGGACACGTCAGGTCACAGAAGTCACTTGGGACACGTCAGTCACAGAGGTTACTTTGGGTCATCACAGAGCTCAATTGGAGGTCAACTGGACACGTCAGGTCACAAGATCAGCTTGGGGCATCGAGCTCAATTGGAGGTCACGGAGGTCATCTGGGACACGTCAAGTCCCAGAGGTCAACTTGGGTCATCACAGAGCTCAATTGGAGGTCATATGGTCATCTGAGATACGTCAGTCACAGAGGTCCGTTGGGGGTTATCACCAGAGCTCTATGGAGTCATGGGGTTCATATGAGACACGTCAGTCACAGAGGTCAACTTGAGGTCACCACAGGCTCAATGTAGCCATCTGGGGACCCTTCAGTCACAGAGTCAACTTGGGGTCATCAGAGACCTCAATTTGAGATCAGCTGGGACACGTCAGGTCACAGAGGTCAGCTTGGGGTTATCAGAGGTCACTTAGAGGTCATAGAGGTCATCTGGGACACGTCAGGTCAGAGAGGTCAACTTGGGGTCATCACAGAGCTCAATTTGAGATCATCTGGGACACGTCTGGTCACAGAGGTCAGCTTGGGCTCATCACAGAGCTCAATTGGGACACGTCAGGTCACAGAGGTCAGCTCGGAGTCATGAGAGAGCTCAATTGGAGGTCATATAGGACTCGTCAGGTCACAGAGGTCAACTTGGGGTCATCACAAAACTCGGAAGTCATCTGAGACACGTCAGGTCACAGAGGTCAGCTCGGAGTAATGAGAGAGCTCAATGGGAGGTCACGGAGGTCATCTGAGACACGGCAGATCACAGAGGTCAACTGGGGTCATCACAGAGCTAAATTGGAGTCATGGGGGCCATCTGAGACACGTCGTTTTTGGAATTGGGAGAATCTTTTGGGGGATGCCCCTCGCAACGTCCAAGATCGCCTTTCTGGACTCGCCAGTAGTTGCTGGAATGATATAAGGCTGCTTTGTATCCCTGAATACCCCAATGAATTTAATATAACATATTATGCACCATTTTTAACACTCGCTGGCACGGATTGAGGCCTCACAGATGACCCGTCGGTTCAAGCTCTATAACTCGCGTTAGCGTCAACGGATTGTAACCAAATTTTAACTCAAGTTCAAACAATTTTACACTAACCATGTAAATTTCGTGACCATGGCCCGAATGACCTGTGACCTGTGACCTCTTCCTCAAAGCAAGGTTAGCTTACGACACAACTTACGACTGCTATTTCAAATTCGTAAGTTGTGTCGCAAATCAGGCAACTTGCGACAGGCTTTACTACTTAAGTAACGCTACTCATCGATTGATCCCTCCAAAAACGACTTACTACACAACTTGCGACACGTCGCAGTTACGACGAGGCTTACGACGCTCTGGATTCCTCCGGCCAAAAAGATCTTTTCGCTTCATGTCTTGTTAAAGATTTTGAGTTTGTCGTTTCGTTAGCACGACGTCCCCTAAACCTGCACCTGTCTACTGCTTTTTTTTTGCCACCCCGAACAAGAACGACTGAGGAGGAGGGGGGCTTGATACGACCCCACTTACGTTTCGCTCCCATGGAACTAAAAACAGCAAATTTTCATGGGAAAGGGGCTCATGAGTCCTCGCTCCCTAACTACATCAATATTTAGAGGGTTTGCATGATAAAAGCCAGCATTAAAAATAAAAATGGCGCTTTTCAGCACGAAACGCTACGTGTCTCGAAAAAAAAAACATAAAAGCTAGAACAATTTAAGATAGCATTCGATAACTTAGAACAAGCCCTATCGAGCTTTATCAAAATATTTTGTCTCAATACGTTAAGCTCAAGATTTCACCAAAGGAGACGCAGTGAGTGTTGCTTAAATACTTTTTTGCATATGACATTTCATATGTAACAGATTTAGCAAAATTGCAAACGAGGCCGAGGGTAGACGAGGTTGGGTGGCGGGCGGCGCTTCACGCCGCCATCGAGCTGCTATTGCAAAAAAAAAAATCGCCCATGGGTCGGATTCCTCCCTCCTCAGACGGACGTGAGTAAAGGCATTCTCGCATGGACAATGCAGTTATTGAGCGATACGCTTATTATCCTGCATCGATCGCAGTGCTTCAATAAATGCATATGAACTCACCTATGCAATTGCCCTCCCACTATAAAACTTCAGGCCGGACTATAGTCTGTTCCATATCAAGCTTGCGGTCGGAGTCCCCTTGGCAGTTCCAGGCAATTCGCTGAGCGCGCTACTCCATTCAATAATTTGAGTCTTAGAATGTAAGATGTATGCACAGAAATCACGCACTGCCTTCAACAGAGCACTTCAGCCGCAAGCTTGACATGGAACACACTAGAGATGTAGTGAATGCGCCTCACCTCCTTCATCGTCCTCTTGGCGATCATCAGCCGGACCGCCCTCATTTTCAGAGCCTGGCTCGTCGAAGTCCTCTGAAAAACCGTCTCTGTCAGATTTAAGAATATGTGTGATGCAAAATAAGTGCCTGCCATAATGGGCAAGCATTTCTGAAAAAAAAAACGCTGAACGGAACATATGTGCTACGGTGGTACCCGGACTGCTTTGGCTATCCGCGCTCGTCCTTCATCTGAAGTACAGCACCATGGGTCTGCATATAACCTAGTAGTACCAGTGAACTTTAACGGTCTTACATTGCCTTCGCTCTGTACGATTCTCTTCATGGTGTTATTGCATTGCCTCTTTAACACTACATTGCAAATTAACCCGCGCCCCGCTGGGCTATTCAGCCATACGCCCCTGCTGGGGGGGGGCAGATTCTGCCCCCCCTGTCTAACTTCCGAACCGATGGTCGTAGAAGAGGGGAAAACGGCAATCGAAAGCTCTCAACAAGGCGGATCTTAAGAGCCAAATTTTTTTGCTTAAGTAGGTCAGAGGTCAGGTCAAGGTCAGGTCAAGGGTACAAAATGCAAGTTTCTACAGTATCGGCCTTGCACCGTAGTTGCCGAAAAATGGACTGAGACTGATTGCCCAAAACGTGTTCTTAGACTACCAAGACAATATTCGTCGCACACAAGGTCATTCAAAGGTCAAGGTCAAGGTCAGGTCAGGTCAGGTCAGGTCACCAAAAACAAAATATAGAAAAGGGCATGTGCGACACATGTTTTATGGGTCATTTTACTCATGGAATTCAATAGGCACACTCAATAAGTGATATGGACCACCTCTGGATGAATTTCAGGTCGAGGTCAGGTCAAGGTCAGGTCAAGTGAGGTCAAATTTTGAAGTTGGTTGTTAAGGCCTTAAAAGGTGTCTATCCGATGCAGTTTTTCACGGCGAATCGAATGGTGCTATTTTTGTTTCCGTACGAGGTCTAGAACTTCCAAAAAAATCATTTTTCAAAATTTTTGTGTGGCGTGACGTCATAAAATTTTGAATAACTCCCACATTTTTGAACCGATTCTTCTAAAAATTGGTATGTAGGTGCACATAGACCACTTCTTTGACATATATTCCGGTTTTTTCGCTAAACTCAAAATTTTGGATTTTATAAATATTTTCCCAAAAAAGTCAGTTTTTTGGAAAAATGTTGGCCAAAATCCAAAATTTTCAAAAAACCGAGATAGCCATTTGATAGACAAAGTAGAATCACGTATAACCTTTTTTGTTACGTCTTGATTCCTTTAAAAATGAAGATGTTAGCGGCGTTTGAAATTTTGCCGTTTTTGAGGCGAAAATGGCGAACATGACGTCACTAAAACGTCAATTTCTCAAAAATTTTCCGACGGATTTCGCTCAAATTTTCAGGGAACGTGTCAAATTGATGTATGATAAGGTACTGAAAGTTTGACGTCGCTGGCGTAACGCGTTTAGAAGTTATTGGCGAAAAACGGGAGGGGGGGGGCAGATTCTGCCCCCCCCCCCAGCGGGGCGCGGGTTAATGCTTTAACTGCATGAAATGTCTGCTAAAATGACAGACGAATGGTGATGTTACGATTAGCACATGTACAAACGATTAGTTACCTTCAGTGAGCATCTCCTCCAGGCTCCGTCCGCTATATTTTGAGAGGCATCCTTCGTCCAGCTTCATCATCAGGATGGAGGCACGCGTCAGTTCGTGAGTAGCGTCTGACAGTCTGTAGTAACCACGATGCACGTCTTTGTCATGTCCCATGTGCCGGGTGAGCACCTCCATATCGAATTCACCCATCTCTAGAATCTGGGACGTTGTAGCACAATATTTCCGTAGTTTTGTTGCATGGAAGAGATCTGCCCTGTTTAGTGCCATGTCCGACAACTGCTCTTTAAGCACCACGCCTGCGTTGTAGTGTCCTGTAGTCCTCGCCAGAGGGTTTGCGAACAGATACTTGTTATCCTTGTCAATGTACGTCTCCCGGTTGTCTACCAGTAGCTGCAGCGGAGCCGCGCAGTCGCTCGGTATCAGGGTGGGGACCTTGTT